CAGAAAAAATTGACTGCGACGTGTCCAAATTCGCTACGACCGGTAGCGAACTTGGTAGCCAATGATTTTGTGACACGTGACATACTTTTGCAGGAAAAGCTGACTGGACGAAGTTCGCTACCAGGGATAGCAAACTTGATGTGCTATGTCGTACACTCTCGTTGCCCGATCAAAATTAATGTTTCAATCACAATCATTGATTTATCGAATTTCGGGTCAACCTACCGATTTTGATAACATTGATATAAGCAATCGGTCTCATCAAATTTTAAAAGTAACCTGTGATCACAGATTACTATGATGTTCAACAGCCCAAGTACTAGTAGTATATTTGAATCTGATTGACGTTACACCTGTGGCACCTATATTAGTGTTATCAATGCCAAGAAAATTGTAATGCCGGCTAAAATTTTAGACTAAATGAGGCAGAAAGAAGAAAACCATAATGAAAACTCTCAATCATATATTAATTCAAGCATAATTTTAAAGAAAAATATTTTTATCTTTGTTATACAAAAAATTTATCAGCCACACTTACATAAAAGTAAGTGGGTAGCAAAGAAATTTGTTTTACAGTAAAAACAAAAATATTAAACCCATAATATTATGTGGGAACTAAGATACTTCTATTATAGTTCAAAATAATATCTTAATCATAAGCTCATCCTTTTCAAGCATACATTCAAAGTCACTTGATGCATATTTTAGTCACGCGTTTGACTCAACTCCATAAACAAATGTTACACGACATAATCCGTTCCAGTTTGATGCCTGTCTTAGAGTTCCAAACTTAGCCATCTTAGGACCATTTACAGCCAAAAAAATTACACGAGGAAGAACAAAATACTTCAGTAAAATGGTGCTTCATTAAGGGGCAGTAAAATGGGCCAACTCGGCCCATTTTTATTTAAGCCCACTATGGCTTAGTAACTATTGAGATGCGTTTCACATATTTCACTTTCAGGTTTCGTACAAAAAAAATTACAGAAAAAAAAGGCCGAATGCGGTAAATGAGCCTATTTTGTGTAAGATGTAGGAATGGAGAAGAATTTCACTGATCCTAGATCACTATTAATGCAGTAATCCGAATCAATCAAAATCATACAAATAATGATAAGAGAAGTAAAATAAAAAATAACTTTTTGTCCAAGTGTCATTTTTTGAATGGAATGATCACATGAGACTTGGAACACCAAATTTTTTTTCCCTAAGACTGAATGGGATGATTCAAAAAAAAAATTCCTGATTTTTTTGGGTCAATAATCTTGTAGCCTCATAAATTATGCAATTAAACATGTCAGGCGGGTAAGGGGGAAGCCCGTGACAGAGGCCACCACCAATGAGCTAAGACTACACCAACCGTAGCAAGTGGATTCGACACCATGTCTCAACCCCAAAACCTTAAGGCATTGGGTTCATAGGTCCCTTCAACTTATATACTCTTCACTTAGCTCATTACCAACCAATGTGAGACTCATCACACTTGAATATCCCAACAATCTCCCCTCAAATGTGAAACCCACCATTGGTATGCTCGCCCTCAACTGAGTACCCCAAGCGCGAGCTCAACCCAGCTCTGATACCAATGTCAGTCAGGTCCAGGGGGGAAGCCCGTGGCGGGGGCCACCACTAATGAGCGCTAAGGCTACACCAACCGTAGCAAAGTGAATCCGACACCATGTCTCAACCCAAAACCTTAAGGCATTGAGTTCATGGGTCCCTTCTACTTATATACTCTTCACTTAGCCCATTATCAACCAATGTAGGATTCATCACACTTGAATATCCCAACAAAAGAAACTCACCTAATGAAACAAACTCACATTCCTCGGAAACCCATCAATTAATTTTAACCTTCCATTGGACCAACCATGTGCACCACATTTTCCTTGTGGAATGCATGGTCAAATCTGGACCATCTACCACCTTCTATAAAGGTTTGTGTAGGACTTCTATTCATTTGTTCAATCATAAATGTATAACCAACTTCTAAGTTTTTTCATTCAATACGAGCATATCATGAAAAAACTATAATTTTCATGATAAAAGAATGGAATACAGTTAGTTTTTTTTTTTTTCCTGTCACATATTTATTTTATTTTTTGGAAAGAATAATTATTTGATTATTTCTTTCAGGAATTTCGTTGTTCGTTTATCAAGGTTCGGAGATTCAAGAACTATTTAAAATCTGTTTCGAAAAACAGTTTATTGATTTTCAGGATAAAAAATCTATTTGATAAGTCATGTTTTGTAAAAGAAAATTCAAAAATTGTAACTGTTTTTTTATTTTAGAATCAAATTTAGAGAATATATATATAAGTTATTTTTTTTTTGTATTTTAACTAAAAGAAAAGTATAAAAAACACACATTTCATTAACTATTTTACAAAATAATTTTTTTTAAAAAAATCAAAATACAGTCGAACAGACCTCAATTGTTGGACAATAGTGCTAATGACATATCACATTCAACAAATGAATTGCTGGATGCCAGTGAAACGGAAATGATCATACGAGACAAGTGTGAATACTTGATACCGAAAGTTCAACCAATTCGTGTGGTTATTAGCACGTTTGGCTTACTTTCTCACGGAGCACATGCCCAAGACTTTTTATTAAGTTTTTTCAATAATTTATATGAAATAATATCAGATACATTAAAAAACTAAGCATGTAATCTCGTGGGATTAAAAGAACAGTAATGATTTTTATGTCGCTCTTACATTCTCTTTTATATAATTGAATTCTATTTTAATTTACAAAAACTTATATTGGCTACGTTTCATCTCCGGTCAATGTAGATAATTTATTTATATGAGATCAAAATAACATAGTTTTGCGACAGAAATCAAAGTATTTTTATAATTATAATTTATTTTAGAATTATAATAGTCTTTCTCATTATAATTTTTTTAATCTTTTAACGAAAAGCGATATTGTTTTGAGAGTGAATATAAATAACTTATCTATATTCACGGTAAAAATATTAAAACATTTATTTTAGGGGGTTGTTATACTTATTACTGAAATTTTTTATTTTTTTACTACTAAATTAATCACGTTGATTTTCGTCAATTTAACAGTTATATTTATTAGGTCACACTTATTAATTAATTATTAATTTTTAATAAATATAATTATTATATTAACAGAAATCAACGGTGATCAATTTAGTAGTAAAAGTGATAAATTTTTTCAATAATAAATATAACCTCTTCCTTTTTTTAATACAAAATTAGTACGTAGTTTGACAACACAGATATTAGACAATATACATGTAAAGAACCTTGAAATACACCACCCCAAAAGCTAGCTCAAAGGATGAGAGTGCCCAAGGCTACCAATGTGGGACTATATATCTTAAGACACCCCCTCACACAAGAGCCCATTGGGCTTGAAGAGTGGACAATCCAACAGGCCCAGCCTACCTGTGCTAAGAAACGTCACAAGAGAAAGTGGGGGGCGAGGCTCTGATACCATGTGAAAAACCTTGGGATACACCACCTCAAAAGCTAGCTCAAATGGTGGGAGTGCTCAAGGGCTTATAAACTCCACATTAGTTGCACATACAACTAATATGAGACTATATATCTCAACAATACAGAGGACAAAGGTTATTATGTTTAGCATTATTAATAAATTAATTATTTTTATGGAGAATAATAATAATTCTATTGGTCCTTGGTTATGATATTGAATAACAATTAAGATTTTCACCCAGCAGTCTTGATATTTTTAATATTATATAATACATTAAATCTACTTAGTGTACAAGTATCGTACTATTTTTAGAAAAACAAATATCACGTTGTAGGATAATTTTCTTGTCATGTCATAGAGACAATAAACGTGGGGTCTATCATGTTTAAAATAAAAAGAAAAGAAAAAAATGCAACACAAATATCGATATATATGTAGAAAATTTTGCATTTGTTATGCGAATAAATCTTTGGTACTACTGCTGTACCAAAGATTCAGTACATCCCACCAATGAGAATATTACATGTCAATTAAATTTTTTTTCTGTCAAATATTTTCTCTCTCCTGTGATGTGTAATATTCTCATTGATGAGATACACTGAATCTAGGTATAACAGTAGTACCAAAGATTTATTCCTGTCATGCAATATGACAAATACAAAACCCTAGTTTATAATAAAAAGATTCTTTTTCTTTAATAAATAAAGGATTTGATATTTATCATATTATAGGAGATAAAAATAAAATTATCTCATTTACACATAAAATTATTTCATATATAATATGAAAGAAAATAAAGTATAAACCCATAAATAAAAGTTGTTTGACTCTTGAAGTTAGAATATATTAAAAATCTTAATAAATTTAAAAAATATTCGACTTGAAATAATTATATTTGTTCATTTACGTTAATCTTGTAATTGAATATAGACGAATTGAATTCTTAATATCAACCATAGAATAATAAATATCATGATTTGAGTTTATTAGTGAATAATTATTAATAATAATTATTTATTAGTGAACGTCATAATACCCAAATCCTATTTACCTGTGCTAAGAATAATCAAATGAAGCTATAAAAATTGAATTTGTGACCACTTTATGATAAATAAAGAACATCTTAATACTTTACATTATATAATGAATTTATTTTTAATACACATTACCGATTACATATTTAATATTACTTTCCAATTATATATTATTATGTCAATATATTTTATTTTTGGGGAAAATGTTAATAAACTAAACCATAAGTTGGTGAAAGTATTTCTTCTAATCGGAAAAATTATAATTCATATACTATATAAATACCACACATGTAAAGTAATGAAATGGTAACATAATATAATAGTAGTAGGCAACTAACATAATAAAAGTCAGAGATTGCGTGAGCCGAAGCTTATAAAAGCATGGTCGGTTGATCTCATGACTCATCCTTATCTTTCACTCGAAACCCAACGCAATCACAGAATAACCTGATTTTTAAAACGTTTTATTTTTCTTTTATTTTTTTATTCTTTAATTTTATTTTTCTCTTCACATCGAAGATACGAACGAAACTTCGTATTTTTTTTTTTTTTTTAAATTTTGTCTGACAAACTAAGCCACGTTCACGCAACTCCACCCCACAAATTGCTATATCTTTAGCTTAACTTTTCTCTGTCTCTGCATCATCTTCAAGTTCAAGTCTTGGCCATGGCGTCTGGACCGTCACTTAGCTCCAATGGGTTTGATTTTGGTTCCGATGACATCCTCTGCGCACACGAGGACTATTCCAACCATGATTCTTCTAATGGCAATCACAGCGATCCCAGTAAGGTAATATACCCATATGGGAATTGATTTCATGTTTTTTACCCTTTAAGTGAAATTTCCGAATCTGGGTCTCGTCCTCTGGATGAAGATCTGCTTAGGTTTTTAGTGAAGTTTTCATTTTTAGCATTATGTGTAGTGTATATTTTGATCATGGGTGAACGAATTATTTTTCCTTGCTTGTTTCTTGGTGAATCCTAGGTGAATCTATCATCTCTAGCACAACTGAAAAATGTGATATGTTCTTGGCTTATTTGAATGTTATGTTGATAATAGGTGAGTAAAAGTCTAAAACTTCATTATATCCAGCAAAGTTATTGGGCAAGATCAGGGTTTAAAAACAAATAAAATAGTAAAGTTTAGGAGGAGGGAAACTTATGTAAACATACTTATTTTAGTGTGTTTAAGTGGTTATTGTGGGTAATTAGGGTTTCTAATAAGTTAGAATTTGTCTTTTCTGAATTATCTTAACCATTCTCATGCTGAATATTTCTTAGGTGGGTGCATATATTTGTAATGATCATGGATCACTTGTACTCTTTATATGCCTGTCTAGTGGTTCTGAATATCAAATCCATAAAATCTACCTTTCTTACAGGATTTTCACATATCAAGGACGGCAAGAACATCATTATCTCCTGCTACTGCCTATAGTTCACCTGAGGATTCTTTAAGCCAAAATGTAATTGCAGCTGTTGAGAAGAGTATGAAAACAAATACTGACAACCTTATGCGGTTTCTAGAGGGAATTAGTTCAAGGCTGTCACAGTTGGAACTATACTGTTACAATCTTGACAAATCGATTGGAGAAATGCGATCTGATTTGAATAATGACCATGGGGAGGCGGATTCAAAACTCAAATCTCTTGAGAAACACCTTCAGGAAGTAAGTTTTATCCTTAAATGATAGAATATGCTATGTCCTTCAAATTAGTGTTGGTTTCTCCTGTTTTGAAGTGCCTGATAAATTGCTTTAGCTTAGAATGAGAAATTATCTCTCTGATGGATGAATAGCTGGAACATCATTTTCTCATCTTGTATGGTAAAATTTAAAATGAAGTCCAACAGACAAATACCTGTGCATGCTGGGGAATTTTTTTTTTCAATTGGAAGATTTTATCCACTCAATTGGAAAACAGCCTCTCTGAATCTGTAAACCAAACCATCATCTTATCTTGATTTGTATATCTTTCCAATATTAATATACTTTGTATTTCAACTTCAAGGTTGTCAATTACAAAACTGCTTTTTATTCAGTGTCACTGTTGCCGAATTAAAATCCTTTATTGTTAGAATATCTGTTTTTCCTTGCTGCTCTTCCAACCATGAAAACTGTACTGTTCAGGTGTGGGGGTAGTATGCTAAGTAATAAACATTGAGGTTGTGTGTCCTTTTCTGACATGCTGCATGGAGCTGTTAAATTTTTGGCTGGCCATATATACTTTGAGCATTAGACATCATTTCACCATGTGTTTATTTTTCGTGTGTTACTTATATAGGTACAGAGGTCTATGCATATTTTAAGAGACAAGCAAGAACTAGCTGAGACTCAGAAAGAAATAGCCAAGCTTCAACTTGTTCAGAAAGAATCATCTTCCTCAAGCCATCTCCATTCCAATGAGGAGAGATCTTCACCTTCTGCCACAGATCCAAAAAGAACTAATAATGCACCCGACACACGTAACCAGCAGTTAACTCTTGCCCTACCTCATCAAGTTGCCCCCCAGCAACAGCCTGTGGCACCACCCTCTCAAACTCCAGCCCCAAATGTGACCCAAGCCACTCAACAACCTCGATATTACATTCCACCTGCCCCTTTACCCAATCTGCCAGCTATGGTGCAGCTTCCTCAGAATCAGTATTTGCCTTCTGATCCACAGTATCGAAATCCACAATCAACATCATCTCAACTAACCCAGTCCCCACCTGTGCAACAATTTTCTCAGTATCAGCAGCCACAGCAACAGCAGCAGCAATGGCTTCAACAGTTACCTCAGCAGGTGGTGCAACCTCCACAACCACCCTCCGTGCAGTCTCAAATGAGACCCCCCTCAACAAATGTTTACACTCCATACCTCACAAGCCAAGCTCCAAATCCACGCCCCACAGAAACACTGCCGAACAGCATGCCGATGCAAATGCCATATTCAGGGATTCCACCACCAGGATCTAGCCGTGGTGATGCCATGCCATATGGATATGGAGGAACTGGTAGAACAGTTCTGCAGCAACCTTTGCCCCAGCAAATCAAGGGGTCTTTTCCAGCACAACCAGGCGATGCATATGGAACTAGTGGGAACCATGCCGCGCTTCCTCCTGCTAGTGCATACATGGTGTATGATGGTGAGGGAGGCAGAGCACATAATCCACCCCCACCTCCTCATTATGTTCAAGCTGGATATCCTTCAACAAGTGCTTCCCTTCATAACCCTGCACCACATAATCTTATGGTTCGGAATCAAAGCCAGTCACAATTTTTTCGCAGCCATCCCTACAATGAACTGATTGAGAAATTTGTGAGCATGGGATTTAGAGGCGATCATGCGGTAAGTGTTATCCAGAGGATGGAGGAAATTGGGCAGCCTATAGATTTTAACTCTCTACTTGACAGGATGAATATGCATAGTTCCGTGGGTCCCCAAAGGTCATGGTCAGGGTAAAGAACTTGTACTGCATGTCCCGTTTGAACATTGCTGTCCAGCACGTCCTGTTTGAACAATGTTATCCAGAATGTCCTGTGTGAACAATGTTGTCCAAGACCGGGATGTTCCGTTCAAACTGTCAAATCATTGCGTGTTTTATTATGCATGGAATAAACTTTGATGTAATGTATACACGGTAATACGGTATTATTGTATGTACCATGTCTGAGATAGGACGACAAGTATATAAGATTTAATGTTGATTCAAGAGAATTATATGATGTCATTTATTTAAAAGAAGTTAAACATTAGAACAGTGTGAAATCACCTGGTAAAAAGTAACACTTGTATATACTATATAGCCATGTTAAATCAAATTTGAACTATGTTATATGCATTTGCTTTGTCATCAATTTTCACTTTCTCTTATTCCATTTATTGAAATGTATTTTTTTGTTTTTTATGCATAATAATTATTTTTAATTTATTTCTTATAAGTTAAGAGTTTTTATTTTTGGTTTTATATAATCATTTTTAATTTTATTCTTATCATTTCTTGTTATTAGAATATTATGAGATTGATATTAAAGTATTATTAAATGTATGAGGTAAATTAAAAATAATTATTATGTATAGGAACTAAAAGTATAATATTTCTAATCATTAGATATGTTTTTGTTACATTAATCATTATATATGTTACTTATATTAAATTTGGTTTTAGTATTTTTTTAATATAACTTTAATAAATTGTGTTATAATAATAACAAACGATAAAGTTTAAAATAAAGACGATTGTATATATGGACTAAAAAACCTTTTTTTTATATAAAAGTTATATTTCAACTTATTTTATTTTTCTTGTTAACGAATTAACAATATTTTATCAATGGAGTTTAACTAAATTGTGTTATACCAAAATAAAAATAAAAATTTGCAGCAACAAAAAGATTTTGGGTTAGATTTACGTTAGTAGCTATTTTATTTTTGGCAAGTCATATAGTAAATATTCGTGTAAGTTGTTTTTATTGAGTTTGTGATACGGTTGATAAAATTCGGTTAGAATTTGGAAGTATAAGGACATCTGTTAAGTAAGTTAAGGTTAATGATTGAATAATATGGAGTGTTGCCTCATGAATTTTCTTTTATTAAACTTTCAGTAAAAAATAAATAAATAAATAAAATAAAATAAAATTCAACGTGCTAGCTAACGCGCCTTTTCTTCTTTCCTCCTTTCTCTCTCTCTCTCATTCCGCGCTGTGACCGTTAGACTCTGTGCGTGTAACATTGCAACCGCACAATCAGAATCAGAATCAGAAGTTCAGCACCTTGAACTATAGCTAACCGAAACCAGCGCAGTCTTCTCTGCTGTTGTCACTTTCCGTGTAACATTTGATCCCAATGATATGCCTATAACTCATCAAGACGACGACGTCGAGCCCTACAACATCATCCCCCTCAACAGCCACATCGACCACCCTTCCCTCCGCTTCCCTGAGGTCCGCGCCGCCACCTCCGCCCTCCTCTCCGTCGGCGACCTCCGCCGTCCCCCACAATGGCAACCCAAAATGGACCTCCTTGACTGGCTCGCTCTCTTCTTCGGCTTCCAAAACGACAACGTCCGCAACCAACGCGAGCACCTCATCCTCCACCTCGCCAACGCTCAGATGCGACTCACCCCTCCCCCCGACAACATCGACACACTCGACTCAACCGTTCTCCGCTTTTTCCGCAACAAACTCCTCCGCAACTACACCAAATGGTGCTCTTTTTTGGGTACCAAACCCAACGTCTTTGTCTCCGACCGCCCCGACGCCTCCTCCGATCACCGCCGCGAGCTCCTCTACGTTTCCCTCTACCTCCTAATATGGGGCGAAGCAGCGAATCTTCGATTCCTCCCAGAATGCATATGCTACATTTTCCATCACATGGCCATGGACCTCAACAGAATCTTGCAGCAGCAAGAGGATCGCGCCTTCGAGCCTTCAATTTCAGGGGAAAACGGGTTTCTCAAGTTCGTGGTGAAACCTATTTACGAAGTGATAAGGTCTGAGGTTGAGAGGAGCAGGAATGGAACTGCACCTCATTGTAAATGGAGAAATTACGATGATATAAACGAGTATTTTTGGAGTAGAACTTGCTTTGAGAACCTCAAGTGGCCTATTAATGTTGGATGCAGTTCCTTTTTCGGTGCGAGGAAGTGTAAGTCTGGGTTTGTTGAACAAAGGTCATTTTGGAACGTGTTTCGGAGTTTTGATAGGCTCTGGGTGATGTTGATTTTGTTCCTTCAAGCAGCTGTTATTGTTGCTTGGGAGGATAGGGCCTATCCTTGGTATGCTTTGGAGGATCGTGATGTGCAGGTTCGGATTTTAACCATTTTCTTCACATGGAGTGCTTTGAGGTTTCTGCAATCTTTGCTTGACATAGGGATGCAATGCAGGTTGGTTAGGGAGACACCGAGGCTTGGAGTGAGGATGTTGCTGAAAACCATCGTTGCTGCGGGATGGGTCTTTGTCTTTGCTGTGTTTTATAGGAAGGTATGGTTGCAGAGAAACCATGACAGGAAGTGGTCTGCTCAAGCAAATAAGCGGCTGGTGAATTTTCTTGAGGTTGCTTTTGTTTTCGTCGTTCCGGAGCTTCTAGCTTTAGCCCTTTTTATACTTCCTTGGGTTAGAAATTTTATTGAGAATAGGGATTGGAGGGTTTGTTACATGTTATCGTGGTGGTTTCAGAGTAGTACTTTTGTTGGTCGAGGATTGAGAGAAGGTCTTATAGATAACATTAAGTACACCTTGTTTTGGGTTGTGGTGTTGGCCTCCAAATTTTGTTTCAGTTACTTTTTGCAGATTAAACCAATGATTGCTCCATCAAAGGCAGTGTGGGACCTTAAGGATATTGATTATGTATGGCATGAGTTTAATCAAAATGGTAACGTATTTGCTCTTGGGTTATTGTGGCTTCCGGTTGTTTTGATTTATCTAATGGATATTCAGATTTGGTATTCGGTATATTCATCTTTGGTTGGGGCAGCTGTCGGTTTGTTTGCACACTTGGGCGAGATTCGAAGTATGCAACAGCTAAAGTTGAGGTTTCAGTTTTTTGTTAGTGCAGTTCTGTTTAATCTAATGCCAGAGGAGCAGTTGTTGAATGCAAGGCGAACATTGAGTAGCAAATTTAAGGATGCAGTCCGCAGGATGAAGCTTAGGTATGGGCTTGGTCAGCCCTATAGGAAGCTTGAGTCTAACCAGGCTGAGGCCAACAAGTTTGCTTTGATATGGAATGAGATAATTGTGTCTTTCAGGAAGGAGGATATCATATCTGACCGAGAGGTTGAGCTGCTGGAGCTGCCGAAGAACTCTTGGAATGTCAGGGTTATTCGTTGGCCATGTTTTCTTCTCTGCAATGAGTTGCTACTGGCGCTCAGTCAGGCCAAAGAACTAGCTGATGCTCCTGATAAGAGGCTTTGGAGGAAGATCTGCAAGAATGAATTCAGGCGATGTGTTGTCATTGAAGCATATGACTGCATCAAGCACTTGCTTCTTGAGATTATCAAACCTGATAGTGAAGAGCATTCTATTGTGATGGTTATGTTTCAAGAAATTGATCACTCTCTTGAGATTGGGAAATTCACTAAAATATTCAAAACGACTGCACTTCCCCATCTCCACAACAGGTTGATAAAACTTGTTGAGTTGTTAAACAAGACAAAAATAGATCCTAACCAATTGGTGAACACCCTTCAGGCCCTTTATGAGATTGCTATCCGAGATTTTTTCAAGGATAAAAGAAATTATGAACAGCTTAGGGAGGATGGTTTGGCTCCACAAGATCCAGCTTCTTCTGAGATTCTACTTTTTGAAAATGCCTTTCAGTTGCCTGATACCATTAATGAGAATTTTTATCGCCAGGTTCGGCGCTTGCATACCATCCTTACCTCCAGGGATTCAATGCAAAACATACCAATTAATCTAGAAGCTAGACGGCGGATTGCTTTCTTCACAAACTCACTTTTTATGAACATGCCACATGCTCCCCAAGTTGAGAAAATGATGACTTTCAGTGTTCTAACCCCTTACTATAGTGAAGAAGTAGTTTACAGTAAGGAACAGCTCAGAAGTGAGAATGAAGATGGGATCTCAATCCTTTACTATTTGCAGACTATATATGCTGATGAGTGGAAGAATTTTATGGAGAGGATGCGGCGGGAAGGGATGATGAAAGACAATGATATATGGACTGATAAACTTAGAGATTTGAGGTTCTGGGCATCCTACAGGGGTCAGACACTATCGCGGACTGTTAGAGGAATGATGTACTACTATCAGGCCCTCAAGCTTTTGGCTTTTCTGGATTCCGCATCAGAAATAGAGATTCGAGAAGGCTCATGTGAACTTGGTTCGATGAAGCAAGATAGTTTAGACGGTTTCCATTCAGCAAGTTTGTTATTCAAAGGCCATGATTATGGGACTGCTTTAATGAAATTCACATATGTGATTGCTTGCCAGATATATGGAGCTCAGAAGGCAAAAAAGGACCCCCACGCTGATGAAATTTTGTATCTAATGAAAAACAATGAAGCCCTTCGAGTTGCCTATGTTGATGAGGTTCCCACAAGGAGGGATGAGATGGAGTATTACTCTGTACTTGTTAAGTACGACCAACAATTGGAGAGGGAGGTGGAAATTTACCGTGTAAAGTTGCCAGGTCCCATAAAACTAGGAGAAGGAAAGCCAGAAAATCAAAACCATGCCATCATCTTCACTCGTGGGGATGCAGTTCAGACTATTGATATGAACCAGGACAACTACTTTGAGGAGGCACTTAAAATGCGGAATCTCTTGGAAGAATACAGTCATTACTATGGTATTCGGAAACCTACTATTTTGGGAGTGAGGGAACACATTTTTACTGGTTCCGTTTCCTCTCTTGCCTGGTTCATGTCAGCTCAGGAAACAAGTTTTGTCACCTTGGGACAGAGGGTATTGGCAAATCCTTTGAAAGTTCGAATGCATTATGGCCATCCTGATGTTTTTGACAGGTTTTGGTTCATAACTAGAGGTGGTATCAGTAAAGCTTCCAGAGTGATCAACATAAGCGAGGACATTTTTGCTGGCTTTAACTGTACTCTTCGCGGAGGTAACGTCACACATCATGAATACATTCAGGTTGGAAAGGGAAGGGATGTTGGGTTGAACCAAATATCAATGTTTGAAGCGAAGGTTGCCAGTGGAAATGGAGAGCAAGTCCTGAGCAGAGATGTCTATAGATTGGGTCATAGGCTGGATTTTTTCCGGATGCTATCATTCTTCTACACTACAGTTGGATTCTTTTTCAATACAATGATGGTGGTTTTTACCGTATATGCATTTTTATGGGGCCGATTATTTCTTGCTCTTAGTGGTGTTGAAGCTGCTATGGAAATAAACAGCAATAATAATAAAGCGCTTGGTACTATCTTGAATCAGCAGTTCATCGTCCAACTCGGGCTTTTCACTGCCCTTCCAATGATTGTCGAGGATTCCCTTGAGCATGGGTTCCTTCAAGCTATCTGGGATTTCCTGACGATGCAGCTCCAGCTTTCATCAGTTTTCTACACATTCTCTGTGGGTACGCGTAGCCATTTCTTTGGCCGGACTATCCTGCACGGAGGGGCAAAATATCGAGCTACTGGTCGTGGTTTTGTTGTAGAGCACAAGAGTTTTGCAGAAAACTACAGACTCTATGCACGTAGCCATTTTGTGAAAGCAATTGAATTGGGGCTTATACTGATGATTTACGCATCACACAGTACTATAGCAACTGACACATTTGTTTATATAGCCATGACCATCTCTAGTTGGTTCTTAGTTGCATCATGGATTATGGCACCTTTTGTGTTCAATCCTTCTGGTTTTGATTGGTTAAAAACTGTTTATGATTTTTATGACTTCATGAATTGGATTTGGTACCGTGGAAGGGTGTTTGCTAAAGCTGAAGAGAGCTGGGAAAAGTGGTGGTACGAAGAGCAGGATCATCTAAGGGTAACTGGCTTTCGGGGGAAGCTTTTGGAGATAATTTTAGACCTTAGGTTCTTCGTCTTCCAGTATGGTATTGTCTACCAGCTAGGCATAGCTGCTGGAAGTACCAGTATTGCTGTTTACTTGCTATCTTGGATTTATGTGTTTGTCGTATTTGGGATTTGTGTGGTGGTAGCATATGCCCGAAACGAATACGCAGCAAAACACCATATTTATTATCGGTTGGTCCAGTCCATTGTCATAGTTATTGCCATAATTGTGATAGTTGCTTTACTGGAATTCACTGAATTCAAATTCATGGACATTTTTACTAGCTTGTTGGCATTCATTCCCACAGGCTGGGGCCTGATATTGATCGCTCAAGTATTCCGGCCATGTTTGCAGTACTCCATAATTTGGAAAGGTGTTGTTTCCTTGGCTCGTCTATATGATATATTATTTGGAGTCATTGTTATGGCCCCTGTGGCACTACTTTCATGGTTGCCTGGGTTTCAGGCTATGCAAACCAGAATTCTGTTCAATGAAGCATTCAGTAGGGGCTTGCAGATATTCCAGATTGTTACAGGAAAAAAACCCTCAAGTTGACTGTGATTCCAATTCGTTTTTAATCATATGTTGCATTGGCGTAATTGTTCTAGTATGCCAATCTTTTACTGATTAGACAAGATTAACAAGACAATCACAAACCTTTTTTTATTTTTATTTTTATTTTTTCCTGATATTGAATGAAAGGCAGGCATTGAGTTCTACAATCCACATTATTATATGAACCGTGTGCTAGTTACTTTTTTTTATCTGAATTTATGTTTTGTTTTTTTGGGTATTCAGCTGATTGTTGGTTTTTGATAATGATAGTATCTATTGTGAGCCATTAGTTGGTAAGTTTTCATGTGCTTCCTAACAATTTTATTTATTTTTTAATGGCAGATGCTAGAATGCATATTTATAAATTGCCTTAATTTCCGTGGCCATGTTGGCTTTAATTTTTGCATTTGTTATAACTGAACATCTGATTCGTTTTCCTTCTTCCTTGTTAAATGAGGACAGGGGCTAAATTCTATGGTCACATTGTTCAAATTTGTTTTCTTCCTACTTGATTGGTGAATCTCTTGGATTAAGGAATAGTTATAACTTAAATGATTATTTTAATTGGGAACTGTTTGTTGTCTGGAACTTTTCTAGCAATTTTGGGATCACGATCTTCCGCTGAACTGACACATCTCAACCTTCTAAACTATTTTTTCTTAATAAACAAATAATGAAAGATTACTAACCATTCCATCTTGTGTCAATTGGTAACGCAGTCAATTGTCACCACTACACTGCACAATATTGGAAATCAAATTCATGGCTGCTTTTTGTTCGAGCTACTGGGATGTTTGTAAATAAGACTATCATTACCTTTATCTAACTGCAGCCTCCGGTACCTTTCTACTAATGGATCACCATGTACTTTAAGTATAAATGTAAGGGCTATGGCAGATATCGTGGGCACATGGAATATTCTAATGTAAAATTATGCTTATTTCTATAACTATGTGCAGGTACTTTTTGGCTGTCCTTTATGTGCACACTTCCTCTAATACCAATTTCACCGGTATATGGCTATCATTTCATGAAGACTATCCGTGGAGTATTCTGTATTTCTGTTATGTGCTTATCTTTTTTATTTGTCCAATTATTTGAAGGTTCTGGCAGTTATTGCATCCTATTCATGATTATTTTATTTATTTTTGTGCCTTCATATTTTGTATGTACTTGAGGCATGCCTGATATTCCGTTCCCTTTGTAGTGTTTTTGCCTCCTTTGAGCCTTTTTATATTACTGAGTTAATTATCTGAATTTTGGACCATATCTTCAGTTATTTTCAACAAACATTTTATTAAGTTTGCAGATTTGACATCGGAATGCGATGTAGAGAAGTCGTGGAAGACGAGAGACTATATAACTTACGTTGTTTGCGAAGTTTTCCTCTGGGTTTTGCGATACCTGCCGCTAGAGACCAAAAAGTCGTTAACGTGTTAATTTGAGAACTAGTCAATTAGAATGATTCCAAATATTCTATCTTCATGTGGTATACAAATTGAAATTATATTGTAACTTAGACTTGAATTTGGACTTATTCACCCAAAGGGTGCAATTAGAAGTGAATTTTATAACTTTAGTGCAAGTCAGAAATAAAAATTTAAGATGTTGTCAAATTACAATAGATAGTACAAGTTGTGGCAATGGAATACAATTTACATATACAACAAGGGTTAAGTGGATCTCTTTTAAAAAGATATAACTTGTGTCCTTTTAGTGATTAGTACAAATCTGACCAATAAGATTTTTTTTTTTTTTTTTGATAACATGACCAATAAGATTTTGTATAAAGGTGAAAGGGAAAAATCCGTTTATAATTTTTTTTTACAAATTACATTAAGTATGACCGGTCATGTACTCTTGATTGAAGTATGACCGGTCATACTTCGTGTAATTTGTAAATAAAAAGTTTGTAAATATAATCTTCCTCAATCTGAATTTTTTTTTTTTTTACTTTACACGTCATCAATGTGACTGGAGAAATAGAAAAAAAGCAACTTTTCAAATTTATACAAAGTCTTACCGGTTAGACTTTGTGTAACTCACCTAAAAAGACACAAAGGACACAAGTTTGTGTCCTTTTAAATGATACTTCTTTTTCCGATACAATAAATATTTAAAAACAAAACATTCCTAAGTCGTGGCAATAAGCAGAGACTTCAAATATATATATATATATATATATATATATATATATATATATATAAATATATATATATACATGAGGTAGGATCCTTTGACATCAATGTCAAATTTAAATTTTGACACCTCATCTGAGAGCCGTTAGATCAAAAAGATCAATGGTGTCACATGCTTATAAATTAGAGTCGTTGATCTTTTTTGATCTAACGGCTCTCATATAAGGTGTCAAATTTCAAAATTGACACTGGTGTCAAAGGATTCTGCCTCTCTTTCTATATATATAGGGTTTGCTTTTTCTGCAATTACTGCAGATAACTATCTGCAGTAAGCCCAATACGACGTCGTTTTGGGGCGAAAATCATGGTATTTTTATAATTTTAATTTATTTCAGAGTTATAATAGTCTTTATATTTATGATTTTTTAAGATTTCAATACCAAAACGACGTCGTTTTGGGAATAAATGCAGATAACTTATCTGCATTAACTGCAGAAATATTTTTCCCATATATATATATATGAAAAATATTTTTACAGTTACTGCAGATAAGTTATCTGCATTTACTTCCAAAACGACATCGTTTTAATGTTGAAATATTAAAAAATTATAATTATAAAGACTATTATAATCCTGGAATAAATTAAAATTACTAAAACACCTTGATTTCTGCCCCAAAAAGACGTCATTTTGGACTCAATTCAGATATTAATTGTAGAAAAAATGAAATATATATATATATATATTTATAGAGAAAAATATTTCTCAAGCAGCTTGAGATAAGTTTATCTCCAGCTACCCCAAAACTACGTTGTTTTACTTATTTATTTCTTTATATTAATTGATTCACTTTTGAATAGTTATGATTTTCTTTTTTTCTCTCTTCTTTTATCACCAATAATCCATCTTTGTACGGTTATGATTTAGTAGCCGGAGATAAAATTATCTCAAGCAGCTTGAGAAACGAAAAGCCCATATATATATATATATATATATATATATATATATATATATATATAAGAGATAAGATTATTTGATACCGGTCTCAAACTTTGAAATTTGATATCAAATCCTAACAGTTGATTTTCGCCAATCAACGATTATTATTTATTGAGAATTAATAATTAATTAATAAGTTTGATTACCTATAAATGATAATTATTGATTGACGGAAATCAACGGGTAGAATTTTGTGTCAAATTTTAAAGTTGACACCGGTGTCAAATTAAAAAGTTGGACAACAAGTCTTAACCGTTGATTTTTGTGAATCTAACGGTTACACTCTTGAACTTATTGAGATTTAATAATTAATTAATAAATGTGACTCAATAAATTATAACCTTAGATTCACGAAATCAACAATTAAAATTTGGTATTTGATGCCAAAGGATTTTGCCCATATATATATATATATATATATATATATATATAGAGAGAGAGAGAGAGAGAGAGAGAGATTTCTCAAGTTACTTGAGATATATTTATCTCCGGTCAGCCTAAAATTATGTCATTTTGTTTATTTATTTTTTATATTAATTGATTCACCTTTAATGGTGATGATTCCCATTTTTTTCTTTTCCTTTATCACCATTGATCCTTCTTTATACGGTTATGATTTAGTAATCGGAGATAAAATTTCTCAAGCAACTTGAGAAACGATAAGCTCATAGGAAAAAGTATTTCTCACTGTTGTAAAACCTAGCCCGACCTGGCCGAGTCGACCCAGAACCCGGTGAATCGGTCATCAGACCAGTACGGGTTAAGCATTGGACCGGTCATGCATCGACCCGATTAAACCCGGCCAAACCCGGTGACTCGGTCAGGTTATGCATTTAAAAAAAAAAATCAAAATTGTTTCATCTTATCAAAAAAATGTAAATCTCATTTTAAAAACTTTTTGTAATTTTATTTACTAGTATACTCTTCTACATTGACCTCTTAGTTTACAATACTGAAGTAATTTGTGGAATAATAAATTAGAGAATGTGACATATGTCATTTTAATGTAGTTGAATTTGAAAACTATGAGTTCAATGTCATTAAGAGGTATGTTTACGGAGATTCTGAGTTGCAATTTAAATTGACATAGTAATAGCATGCACTTTTATTTATTTATGCTTTATGCTTTTTAGCTTATTTAGTGAACCTTGTTTAATTCATTTAGATATGGAGAATATAATTAAATCTATATGTTCATATTTATATATTTTTATATATCTATATATATCCGGGTTAACCGGTCCGACCAGTGACCCAGTAGCCCGACCGGGTCGGGTTTAACAACACTGGTATTTCTACAGCCACTGTAGATAACATTATCTATAGTTACCTCTTTTTAATTAACTCTGACTAGTAAGACATAATTTTAATAATAAAACTGTTCCTTTTTTCTTTCTCTTCAGACTTTGTTAGCTGGCGTGGCAGAGAGAGAATGCAATTTTTATGTCTTACTGGTCAGACTTAGTTAAAAGGGTAGTTGTAGACAACTTTATCTAAAGTGGATGTAGAAATGTTTAATCCGTATATATATATATATATATATATATATATATATATATATATATATATATATATATATATATATATATATATATATATAGGGATATTGTTTCTTATGTTACATGAAATAAATTGAGTTCCCAAGGATGACCTTGGGTCAATAGTTCAAACCCTGCCTCAAGCAAATTCTTGAAAAATCTTTGGGAGCGAAGTGATTGATGATTGTTACATTAATTGTGATTGGTACAATAAAAAGTTAATCCCATTGGTACACTATTTTTGATTGGTGATTGGTACATTAATTAAATAGTCATTTTTCTTTGTTTTCTTTTTTTGATTGTGATTGATACATTAATTCTGATC